TTGGTACCTGTGATGTGTTAAAAGCTAGATGGGCAAATCTGAAACAAGTGGATGTGGAATTCCATCTAAATGTAGCATACATTTTAACCAAATTTACAGAAAAAAAAAGATGAATGATTCAGTTTGCATCCACTACCACTATGTGAATACTGAAATTTAACAGCCTTGAGGTAAGTGCTGTTTTTTCGCCTCTCCAGTGGAGCCAAATGTATGTCATTGTGTATTCGCCAAGTCTGTCTTCATTGCACTTTGTTGCATTTTGCTTTTATCTTTACACCAAATTTTTTAGCCAAGAATAAAAATATTCTCTGATTTCTCTGTCTGTGTTCATTTCGAGGCTTTGGTTAAAAATTGATAATAACGGGTGAAATCTCAGACCCACCATCAAAAGTCTGTTCAGAAATCCCGCTGACTGACAGATTGCAAACTTCCAATGAAACTAATAAAAGCTAAACGTTAATATTATGTTTAATTCACTGTAAGATAAGAAGTCACAATATGATTCCTGAAAACTTTGAATTGTTTTAATATGAAGTTACAGAAATCTCTGACCTGCTGTCATTGTAGATCATTCAGAAGAAGAGACGCGTGTTGGTATAAACGACATGACCAACTGATTTTAACCACTAAGCACAAAAACAATCACCGTGTTGGCTCAGGAATGTATAAATCATGCAAATGACTTGGAAGCGTATGTGTGTGCTTGTGTAAGTAAATAAGAGAAAATAAGACAAAAATAAATGTAACTGATGTGAATTTGTCTTTTACACATGGTGTATGATCTATGTGTGAAAAGCTAAATGAGATAAAAGTATCTTACAACAGAAATCACACAAAAATCGGATTAGATTTCTCACATTTAATTGCAACCGCTGAGTTTGTTGGCAATTTAGAGCCAATAAAAGTAAATATTCAGGGTTTGCGAGAAATTAGCTCCTCTAGTAATTTCAACAGCTCCACTTTGCTTTTATTAAAAACATCTTAATTGGAAACTAAAATGTGTATTACTAGTCTGCAATTTTGTATCACAGTCAATGCATCTACATCTACGAACCACCATCAAAACAAATATAAGGCTTTTACCTAATTAATAATCAAGCAGCTCTTTATGTGAATTTCACTTTAGATACTAACCTCTGTGCGAGCTTCGTTCAGCTCCACATGGTGATTCAAATCCAACATTTAATCCAATTGAAAGTTTTCGCTAAGCTGCCATCACGCAGCCCGCTGTTTACTTTCAACAAAACTTTCAAGGTTGTTGACTTCAGGAAGAGAAAAAAAAATAAATAAAAAAAAAGAGACAAAACCCCTGTTCTGACACCGACAACGCTCCATCTCTGTTAATGAAATCGCTGAGTCCTGTCCAAGTGGCTGCTGTACCTGGAGAGAGGCCATGAACATCACTTTTCTCTCTGTCGCTCTAACTCCCCTCTCATTCTTTTTTCTTTACTGTTACCTCTGCTCTCTGTCATCCCTCGCTCTCTTTTTCATCTCTCTAAAGGACTGATTGCACTTCTTACTGAGACTGCGCCAGAGACCTGCTTTTTTTTGTAGCTGTAGTTTGTAATGTTATTGAATTGAACTATACATTATGGTGCATCTTTCTCTTTTGCCGTTTCTCTGTGTTCTACTCTTGCATGTCCTCACACACCTCCACCTTAACCTACATTAATTAGGGTTTTTGTGACTCGTTTGGGGGGGGGGGGCAGCACATAAAGCCGTATACACAACATTTACATATTTTTACCTTTACCCGTGTTGTGACACGTTAGCAAACAGTTGCGTGTTCACACAACCTGCAGGCAAAGAGCAACATGAACTTTTATTTAGAGCCGTATTTCTGCCACACGTCAGGCTCTATTTACTTTATTTGATTCCACAAACTCCAACGGCATCAGACACATGCAGAGGAAAACACAATGAGCCAATGTGGTATCTCTGTTGATGCCTCAACCCTGACATGTAGTTACATTTTTGAGGACTATGGCGTAAACACTGACACACACAGCTGCCGTAGCCCCTTAACGCAGCCAGCTTCAGTCCAACATTTACTCCTGAAGAAAAATATCTGCCTCCTTAGCTGCTAAATGCGCCACTATGTTCACAAGCTGGTGGCGAACTTTGTCTTTGTGCCGTTTGGTGCTAGACAGGCAGCTACGGTGGGTTTATCATAACAGCTGTACACTGCTACAGGAAACAACGCTGAAGAGATCAGCAGCTTTATTGAATGACGTCGGATTGGATTGGATTTTAATTTATCAAATCAACTGGACTGGGAGATTTTGACTATGGCAACAGCTGCAGATTCAGATTCGGTGGCTGGCTCTCCTTCAAACCTTTTTTTCTTTTTGTTTTAATCTGTTTTTGGCCTTATTGCTGAAACACACATTGCCTATGACAGAAATAGCCAAAACTCAAAAATTGTTCCACAAATAGTGTCAAATCATTTAAAATAATAACTAACCATAAGTACTTATTACAGTGAATTGAAAATCATTAGAGTTGAGTATGCAGTCCATATGTTTTAAATATATTTAAATATGTATTCCAATGATTTAACAAATCAATCAAATAACACCTTGCATCAGTCTTGCTCTACTGCTTATACCGTTCTCTTTTCTCTGTCTCTCTCTCTCCTTCCAACTTCTTAACTCAATCTCACAACTTTTCTTGCTCCTCCTGCTCTCTCTACCCACCCTCCCTCCCTCCCTCCTTCTCCTCCGGCTGCTGCTGCTGGATGCGTTCACTAATGGCATGCCGGCGTCATCGTCCTTGGGAGCCTTTTATTCCAGTAAGCCTTTTTCATTTCATTAGGCCTGAATTTATAGTGGCACACACACACACATCCAAATGTACATACACCCACACACTCACACCCACACCCACAGGATATATTTATAGAGGGAGATGGCACCGTAAAAGCGTCCGTCAGCTTCCAGGGGGAAGCCTAATGTCTGTGACACCACTCTCAATTATGCAGGCAGGAGGGCTGGGGAAGACTATCAATGTGACACACGCACGCAAACACACACACAAACACACACACAGACACAATCTGATACTGTGTGCATATGTATACTGTTTGACAGAGAGTCTATGTACAGATAGATAGATAGATAGATAGATAGAAATACTTTATTTATTCCCAAAGGGAAATTATAGTGTTATAGCACAGCGGAATTCCACAGAGGTCCAAATTATTACTTAGAAGTTTTCTATTC